TTATCAGTTATAATGATATCATTATGATATGAGAATAGTTGTTATCAGTTATAATGATATCATTATGATATGAGAATAGTTGTTATCAGTTATAATGATATCATTATGATATGAGAATAGTTGTTATCAGTTATAATGATATCATTATGATATGAAAATAGTTGTTATCAGTTATAATGATATCATTATGATATGAGAATAGTTGTTATCAGTTATAATGATATCATTATGATATGAGAATAGTTGTTATCAGTTATAGTTACAATAGCATCATTTTTTTAAATGAAATTCCAATGAAGAATAATCATTTTATAAGTCAATTAGAAAATTTTTATAAATCACAATAACTTCGAATAGATTAATCAATCATTTTGAGGCACACAAACAACATTTCACTTTAAAAATTTGTTAACACATTTAATTTTAATTGTTAAATTCCAGAAAAAAAGGAAGAAAAATGTGGTAAAAAAAGAATTTAATTTACTTTATTGCATTTTTTAATTGAATAAAATTAATAAAATTATTTCAAAATAAATTTGTAACCATTTAAATCTCAAACTTTTTATTTTAAATTATACAGCAATGAGTAACAATGAAAAATCATAGTATACTTAAGCTGGTCTGTAAGCAAATTCCACTCTGCCATCTGGTTTTCTCGTACATCTGAAAATCAGAAATTTTACTTGAATATTTGAATACTGAAAGATAATTAGTACAATAATTACAATCTATCATTATCATGATTAAAACTTATTATTATCATGATTATAACAATGATTTCACTCTTAAATTGATATAATTTCAAAAAAAAAAAATTAGAAACTTCTTGTCTCACTAACAAATTTGGCAAATTTTAGGCTAATAGTAAAATTTTTGACTGAAGAATGCATATAATATATATTACTTAAACTTTTTAGGATTGCTTAGAGACTAATATTACTAATTAATTAATTAGAGGAAAAAATTTTCAAGTAAAAAAAAAATTACAACTTGAACATTAAATAAATTAGATTAGAAAAATGTCATCGAGAAGTTTACATTTATTAGCATTTGCCTTCTTTATTGCATCACCAAATAATCTAGGAAATTCCGGTTAAATTTTTATTTCTTTCTTTTCTTTTTTTTTAAACTTATTTCAAAAATGATGAAAAAATTATATCGTAAAAAAAAAAGGAAAAAACAAATGTTAATACTTACGTATATCTCCTTCCGGCTTCTATAAATTCAGTTCCCACAAGTAATCGAAAACCGCCCGGCGCTAAACATGCTGTAATTCTTGTACGCCATGATCCATCAATTTTTGCATCACATTCCATTTCAAAATTATTCTCAATCTGCAAAAAAAAAAGATGTAAATTGAAATTGAAATCAATTAAAATTCAAGTTTATTTCAAATATTTTAAATCTTGGAAATTGCTATTTTGAAATTTAATTTTCTTCAAAATAATAGAAAAAGAAAATTATTTCATTTCTTTCTCTTTTCTAAAATCTTAAAAGAATTTATTTATTTATTATAATCAAATTATATTGTTTATGATAATTATTGATTGGAAATATATAATTTTTGAATAGATTGTAAGCAGAAATAATTTATGAGAGAAATTTTGTTGAAAAAAAAAAAAAAAATAGAAAATGAAATTCCTTTCGACTTTGTGAAATCTTTTAGAAATGAAATACTTATGAGTAATTAATTTCTTAATTTAAAATATTTCCAAAAAAAAAAAAAAAACGAAATAGAAAAAAGCTAACCCATGTATCACCATTTTCATATATTTTACCATTAATTACACATGCTTGATTAATGTTTGTTGCAATTAGTAATACAATTATTCCAATTAAAACTTTCATAAAGATTATTTTTATTTGAAATCTAAATTTTGAAATTAATTAATCATTTTAAAGCAAAATTTTTAATTGTAATATAACAAACAAATTAATAGTAATAATAATAATAATAATAATAATAATAATAATAATAATAATAATAATAATAATAATAATAATAATAATAATAATAATAACAGCAACAAAATGCAAAAAATTTTATTTAAAAAAGTAATTTAAAAAAAAATTATTACAATAGAATGTTACTTTCAAAAAATGAAATTTATTTTATACATTTTGCTCATGATATTATCGATAAAGTTTATAAATTTCGACCACAAATTGATAAAAATAATAATGACAAAGTAATAATAATAATAATAATAATAATAATAATAATAATAATAATAATAATAATAATAATAATAATAATAATAATAATAATAATAATAATAACACTGAATAAATTATAATATTAGCATTTGCAGTAAATAAAAAATATTAATTGATTTTCAACAAAATTTTTAGCATTTTTAAATGATAAAATTATTTTTTATTGATTTTCAAATCACAAATTGATAACAATGATAATGGCAATTTGATAATAATTAATGCTGAATAAATTAATTACAATATTAATTACTACAAATACAAAAAAATTTACTCTTTCTAATTGACATACACTTATAAGTAAAGAAATATAATAATGATTAAAATTTGTGATTAATTTTGTTCAATTATTATTTCAAAATTTAAAAAAAAAGAGTAAGAAGGAACTGAAAAAAAAAAAGGTAAACAAGTAAACAATAAAGTGAAATTTTTATAAACGAATAAGAAAGGACAAGAAGAGAAAAGTTAATGAAAAAAAAAAAAAGGAATGTATTTTTTCTTTTTTTTTTTTTACATTACAATTTAAACATGTTCACAATTGAAATTATTACAACACATTTTGTAATGAATGCTTCAATTCTATCAATTTTTTTTTTTACTCAAAAATTTTGAAATGAAAAAAAGAATTGAAAAATAATGAAATTATCTTCACTCTTTCAGTTTTTTTCTTTTTTCTCTTTTATTTTTTTGTAAATTTGAATTTGCCAAAAAAAAAAAAAAAATCTTTTTTTTTTGAAAGAAAAAAAGAAAAAAAACAATAAATAAACGATTAACAAACAAATTATGTTTGTTACTGGAAGAATTTATTTGTTAGAATTGTAAAGAAATGAAATTTGCCAATTATAAATGGAAAAATTATTTCGTTTTAAATAACAAATAATTAATTATATTCTTTTTAACTTTGTTTTCTTTTTCTTCTTCTTCTTTTAAGAAATGAATATTACAGAGTATTAATTTATATAAAACCTCATTTTTGTAAAATAATTTTAATTTCATTTTCCAAATTTCATTTAATTTTCCTAATTTAATTTTCTGTACCTTCTCTATTTTCTTTTTAAATTTCAAATATTAGTAAGCATAAATTGGTTCTCTGTATAATTTTAATTTTAAAGATATCAGCAATATAAGTGTAATAATATGTTGAAAATTAAATTGCATCCTATAAATTATAACTAACAATTATTAATACCACTAATAACCATTCAGGAAAAACTGAATACATAACTTTAAGTCCCACTAATTTATAATTAATCAATTTATAATTTTACAATTGTCAATTCAAATATCATTTAAAAATTATATTCAACTAAAGTATCTCAGCTATTTTCATTTCCATCAATTATCAATTTTTAAGTTTCACATCAATTAATGGACCTTTTGTCTTTTCTTCTTTACAAAAAAAAAAAAAAAAAACCAGTATTGCAAGTACAATTCATCACTTTTATGTTTATTTTTCCTTCCCAACAAATAAGGTAATAATTTTAAGCTAATTGAATATTTGCGCTAATTGAACAAAACATTCAGATATTTGCAGTATTTGTAACTTTCGTCATCAAATAAATAATGCATTAATGACTTGTTGATAGTTAGAAATGGAAATTTGCAAATTATAAATGGCAAAATTTGCATTAGTAAATGCTTCAAATCGATTATGATGGCGCAATAAGTTTAGATATGATAGACCAAATAATTGATAATAAAAGTTTATGCAAATTTGTGCATGAAAGCTCAGTGTATGTTTATAATTTCAGTAGAAATGTTTTAATTTCAAAATCACTTAGTAAAATTGTTGTATTTTATAGGCTCTCGCAGAAATTTCATTCGATAAATTCAATTCACATTTCCACATTTCAGAAGCTCAAAGATAACTAAATGTAAGACAAATTATGGATACATTAAAGTTTCATTTGAAAACTCTAATTCCTTATAATGAGCTCTTTTCTAATTAAATCAAATTTCATTATATCTTTTCAGCATATTATTAATAGCATAATGCTTTTATTGATAATTGAGGCATAGGGCATTTATAGTCTTATCTTTACAATGCTTTAAATAAATGCATTCTAACTCCGAATAAGAGCTAGAAAAAAATTAAAATATTAAATGACAATATTAAATGTAAATTAAAATGTAAATTCAAGTAAACAAGAAAATTTGACAATCAGAAACTCATTCAAATAACAAAAAAAATACAGCAGTAACAAAATAAATGGCAACAAAAATATAGATGACAGCATAAATCAAGAAACTTTACAAAATTCTGGATTTTTGCAGAATTAAAAAAAAAAGAAAAAAAAAAAAACGTAACTTCAGTAATAATCTTTTGCGCTGGAAGCTCAGAAAAATTATAATTTTTTCCATTACGAATTTTGGCTGAACTATATTTATCCTCGATCAGTTGATCAAAAATGGAGATAATAGAGATCAAAATACTTTTAAAAAAAAAATCAAAAAAAAAAGACTAATTAATAACTGACGTACAAACATACATAAGAATAACGATGGATGATGCTATAAAAACAATAACATTATGTACACACAACACAAAAAAAAAAAAAAAAAAAACTGAGTTAAAAATTTTCAAATATAATTTTAACTTATCGATCCCAATGACATTTATCAATTAATGCACTAATTTACAATTATTTCAGAAAGTCCTGATAACATTAGCAAAAATTATTGCTCAGAAGACTTCCATAGCCTGGAAGGTATGAAAGACTATACAACACACCTTTGTTAGTTAGAATGCGAAAGAAGTACGACAGAGAGAACTTGAATAACAATTATTACTCATGAACTTTTTGATTCATTCTCCTTCGATAAATGTCTCGAACTATCCCTGGTGCACGTGGTGTAGCTTCCTCATCACTATCAGAATCACCACCACCTGCTGCTCGTCTCTTCCTTTGCGTAGCAGCTGATTGTTGTTGTTGATATTCACTTGATGCCAAAATCTAAACTGCGTTCCAAATTTTAATAAAATACTTAATATCTTCGATAAAATATAAAATGTTAACTAACCTTAGACTATCAAATCAGAAGCAGAGAGATGAAAAAAAAAGAAGAAAAAGACGAAACAACTCACAACATTAGGATCAGTAGTAGTATTTAATAATTGATAAAATTCTTTTTTGATATCTTCTACTCGATGCATTCCAAACATGGTACCATTTTCTAGTTTCACTTTAGGATCCACTGATGGTGCTAAAAAAAAGCAAAACTATTTTGCAGATAATAATAATAATAATAATAACTAAATGATTATTAAATAAAACAATCATTTAAGAATATGTTGAAAAAATTTGGTGAGTTTAAAAAAAAAAACATACGTCCGCTTTGACTGAACTTCGTTAAACTTTCCATAAGTAAATCTACTGAAACGAACGGACCATTGAAACACCATGGAGGTGGTAACATCTGCATCAACTGAGCCGCCGCAGTCGGTGGCGGAAAAACACCTTTTAAAAAAATGAACTCAACAACTTTCCACTTTATAGATTTAACATATTAATGCAAATTAAAAAAGAAAAAAAGTAAAAAAAAATACACATAAAAAAAATGAAACCAGAGCATACCACCAGGAACAGGATGATAACTGCCATTTGTATTCAGTTTTGGTTTGAAAGGTATCATCTGATCTGTATCTGGTCTTGGATAACCAGAAATTTCTAAACTTACACCACCACCCATTACAACCGATGGCCCACCTACACCTGCAGTTGGTCTTACTACATTTTGCCCTGAAACAAAAACTGTGAAATTTCAAATACATTATGAACAAAATGATACAATCATTAACCAAGAAAAACAAACCATTTGTTTGAGCACCATTTGATAGCAAAGAAGCCGTCCCTGAAACCGATGCGCGTCCAATCAATGATGAACCTTGTCCCAGTTTTTTCTGCAGGTGTCACAGAATTCAGAACTTCAAATTTATGAAAAAAAAAAAAAAAAAGAAAACTCAGCAAAATATCTACGATTAACAAGGAGTTAATTAAATTAATAGTGATAACCAATGGAATCCTAAAATTCCTAACAATTTCATATTTATTCTATTGATGCACACTATAAGGTGAATCTAGTGCAGTTTTCCTAATTGAAAATTGAAAATTCTTTCGTAAAACATCCATGAAAGATTCTTTTATCTATTATATTTGTCTAAAGTCCTAAAGAAATCATATTTGATCTGTGGAAATTCAATATTGTATATATATATATAAAGCCAAAGTAATCTTATGAACTTCCAAAGTGATTTCATAAAATTTCTTCGGTTTTTAGTATTTTCTTTCCAACCATAATATGATTACGGCAAACCAATATGTGTATCTCTACCAGTAAAATAGATCAAGAACATCGGAATATTGACAAAGTTTATAAAGATTATAATTTTCATTACATAACTTATTGAACTACAATAAAATTTGAGTCTAAAAACATCTGTAGGATAAAAAATTTAACTAGATAATTTGTTTGCTACTTACCGAATAACCCATCAATCGTAACTGATCACTAGTACACGGCACTAAATCCAAAAATTTGTACCGATCAATTAACAGTAGCGTTTGCATTTCACCATATTGTTCATTCAGCGCTTCACGTCGCCTCTGATCAACTTTTAAAATACTCGATAAATCACCAACATGCGACTCAAATTCAAGATAACGGTCCCAAATTTCACTAGAAAAACAGCATTATTGGACTTAGACCAAATAGTTTAAATACAAACTTTCAATATCGAAAAAAAAAGACTAACATCGATTTTTCAGGTGTCATGGATTCCGAAGTTAATATTCGTTCAAAAACAACACGTGTATTGTTATCCTCTGAAATAATTGAACAAATAAAGTTCGGAAATTTGAAATGAATTAGAAAAAACTACAAAAAAAAAATACTACAAATATAAATTTCGACATGAAAAACACTCGAAAAAAAATTATAAATTAAAACAGAAACGAGAGAAAAGAAACTTAAGGAATAAGAATACAATAACTAAATGTAAGAGAAGAGAAAGTAAAATATAATAAATGTCTTTAACTTTTTGCTAGAAAAACTAGGGTTACCATTTAAGTGTGACAGAAAATCGACGTAAGCAAGAGCGTATTCTGGTTCATCGCCATATTTTTTTAGTCCCATATCAAAAACTCTTATCGCAATATCCGTATCCTTAAAAGTAACAAATAATAAAACTAGTTTTCATCTAAATCAATTTTAATGCAACTCATACGGAAATATATGTAAAGTTTTAATGCTTTGGAATACCAGGAAGAGTATACAGAAGATCAGCCAGTCAAAACAAACTTTAATACTACAAAGACAGATACTATTAAAGAGAATATAAAAATTAAGAACCTTGCTACAATAATATTCCATTAGTGCAGATGCAACAAAAATGTGAAATTTGCAACGTGAGTCTTGACGAGCACGTTTGAAAATAGCACGTGCATACTGTACACCTTCGGTTCGTCTCACGAATTTCATTAATTGTATATAAGCCTGAATTTTAAAATGATCAAATAAAACGTGTAAGATCTATGTATTTTTATAATTTGTACAACCTTTTTTTTTTACTACAACATATCCCTTAGGTTAAAAAAACGAAAATTTGTATGATATAGTATGCTGAGATGTGAAATAAAGCTTACAATTTTAGACAACAAATGCTAAAACTAGCACTAGCAATGAATAGAATGCTAGCAATTACCAAAGTAGGATCCGCTGTTTCAATGGCTAGAAGTCGGTCGTAAATCTTCTTTCACATTATCAAATTTCATACGCTCTTCTTCATAATCTGCATATGCAAAAAACAAAAGCTGGCTTTCCTTTAAAAGACCACCAATTGCACGTTCGAATAATTCTGAAAAAAAAAAAAAAAACAGAAATATAAAAAAGGAAAAAATGTGGTAATACTTAAAGCACAATAAAACATCCTTATTAGATTTTACAAATGCATATTTTCCACCCTAAAATCATTTCAAAATCACCACGAATTATCGGAAATTAATAATTACTATATGTAAATTTACTTCAACTAAGGTACCATGGAGAATGACTAGTGAAAAAAAATACACGCATAAAACGAATATATAGCAGTTTTATCTTGACCTTGAATCGATAATTAACAAATCAAATTTTCAAAATTCACAAAATATATGAACTAACGAATAATATCAGTGTTCATTGTAGCTGCTAATTTCACATCACCCTTTTCTGCTAAAACAGCTGCAGCTTGTTGCTGAAACAATGCGGCTTCATACCACATATCGGGATAGTAACCAAGACACAGAAGAGCTTGTTCGTAAGCGTATATTACTAAAATACAAAATAAATACATTATTAAATAGCATAAATCTATAACGGTATCAATCCTAATATTCATGTAATAGATTAATATCAGTTTATTTTAATTTTAAGTTCAAATTATTAAAGTTTATAATCACCTCTTTTAGCAAAATATGCATATTCTTCTGTACCCAAAGGATTAGTTTTTTCCCACTGTATATACTTTCGCCACATATCTAGCTGAAAAATAAAGAAACTTTTTATGACAAATTTTTTCCTTGTAATTTCTTAATAAAATGGCAAAAAAGAGAAACTTTGTGAAAATCAAAATTTAGAAATCAAAAATAGAAATTAAAAAAAATCTAAACCTGTTTCATTTCTGCAGCAGTTCCTCGTGGTGGAACACTTACAGCTTGTCGATTTAACCCCCTTGTGACTTGCTCTAACGATTTTGAAATGCGCTTAGCAATTTGATATTCCTTATTCCGCTCAGCTATCAATTTCTCCGCTAATGTGACATTAACGCTCTGGAATTTTAAAAAAATCATTGAAAAATACAAAAAGAATGTGAAAAAAAAAGGACCAAAGTTTACTGTTTGCAAAGTAACAAAGTTTCTTCCAATTACAGTTTCTTCCTTCCAATTTATTTTTATTTTGCTCAACAAATTGCAAATTCGCTTCTGCTTTCGTCATGCAAATCATAGTTGATAAAAGATACAACAAATTCACTGGATAACACCCAAGAATTCTTTAACTTTTACCTTTTCGTAAGCACAGTATTCTGCCCATAACTGTTCAATATTAACCATTGGAGTGACAACACCACGCTGATATACTTTACGAACAGCTGAAATTCGCTGATTCTCTGCATACTGACCAACTGTGGGCCTATAATGCGTATAAATAATTTTCAACCCACATACAGGATTAAAACTTTAATTTTCCTAAAATAGTTAATATAAAAAGTTTTTTTAAAAAAAAGAAGACCGATAAAACTTACGCAGATTTAAGAAAAGAAAGATAATCAGAATAAATTGAATATGAATGCATATCAAGACCAATTTTGTCCAAAGCAAATTCATATGCTTGTGCCATTTTCTCCCTAAAATCTCGAAGACTACGAATATAAATACGAGACTCACATCGACTACCGCAGTAGTGAAGTTTGATAACAAACAAATGACAAATAACAATTAGCTTAAGCTTCCTTAAATAATAATCAGCCTCAGTCTCTTTAAAGAATTACGATAAAACTACTTGAGTAAATATCAAACAATTACAAAACATTTAATAACACCGTTTTAATAAAAAGCAATTTCCGGCAATTTCCACCATTTTATTCAAGATTCAACTTATAATCTTAAAGAGAAGTTGAAAGTTGAAGAGCGTTTATGATTAATGGCTACATGATATATGTTATATATAACATATTAGCTGAATCAAAAGAAATGAATATGCCAAACCTGAAAGAGGAGAGATGTCCTTTGGTCTCCCGTACATAGAAAACATAACACTTCCAGAGATCGATGTTGAGAACATGAATAAGACAACGACCAAATAACTGAAAGGAAAAGAAATTTTCAGAAATGACATCAACGATTGACTAGTAATAAACATATGGATTTTAAGCTGTACAAAAAGTTCTAATCTAAGCATGATAGTTCAATCAAATTTTCATATTACCAAAAATACTACTAATTATAGTTTATTACGCGCTACATTATCTAATGATGGTACATCAATGCAAGCTAAACACAAATGTCCAATGTCAACATTCTGCAAATCATGACTATTACGATAATACTCCTCAACAGTTAATCTACTTCGTGTTACTCAGCACATCACAACACTTAAAGCTTCAAATCTCGAGGAGTATATTTTGAATGATGGCTCTCACAAAAAAAAAAAAAAAAAAAAAAAAATCAAAATGAAACTAAGGTCCAAAAAAACTAATCGAACATTCAGTGTAATGCGTCCTCTTTCAGCCTTCTAACTTCATGCAATCATTCATGTTAACAATTTACAAGTTTTTTAAGATTTCAAACCAAAAAAACTTAACAAAGAATTCAAACTTACTGATTCCACATTTTCGTAATTTTTGCCACGAAGCTGAAATTTAAGTATATGAAATTTTCTTCTGCTAATAAAAAGTAAAACAGTAAAAAAAAAAGGAAAAAAAAAATTGGAGGTAGAGATCTTACCTGCTAAGGAATTCATATAAAACCGGCCTATCACATGCATTACGTAAAAGTAATGTCATGAACAGCTATGATGCGAAGAAACACATCATGTCATATTTTAGATTAATTCAATCAAATAATAATACATACTTAATCATAAAATTTATGCTTAAATTTCCCTGTGAAATTTCCAAAATAATGTAATTCATCAGTAATTTCGTAATTTGTTAAAAATATAAGCTCAACATTGTGCAACAAGGAGAAAGAAGTATCAAAGGATTTCATAGTTCAATCTGGAAATTCGGGAGTATGGAGCTTCAGTTAGCAAAAGTTCTATTATATTATTTGAGCAAGAAATCATTAATTTTCTAAAATGTATGTGCCTAAACTTTCTTCTTCAAAAAAATAGAAAAAGAAGAGACTTGTTTGAATAATTGTTATCGTTTTCAATTAGTGTATTACTGTTACCGTAAAACGATTTCTCAAAATTCACACCATGGGCATGGGAACATCCAAATTTCCAGTCTGATACTCCACCCCTCTCCCTGTTATCTCTGTCCCCGGTTCTTTTCGTATAATTTCATACGCCCAAAAAAAAAAAGGAAAAAAAAAAAGAGATGTAGTGTGAAACAAAGTGAATTTTGGAAAATGATGATTAGTTGCAATGTGGAAGAGATCATATCTGTTTTATATTCTTTATTCTCCGGTGGGAAAAATTTAAAAAGAAGAAGGAGAAAGGACAAATGCAATCAGAATTATGCATTTTATTACTGCTGAGTCACTTTCTTGAGTAAAAATTTTTATTTCGTTCGGGATGATGGCAAAAAATTCATGCAGCAGTAGTAATACATTTGATACTTGTTCAAAACATAGACTAAAGATAGAGTATGTCATTTCCTAATTCACACTTTTTGTTCTCAGTTTCACAGTATTCCCATGTCTGTTTACACGAAGAAGGAGAAGAAGAGCGAGCACCACTGCGCGCTGCAAAATTGCAAAACAAATAAAAATGATGGTATTCAATTGATGGAAACTTGTTGCTGCTACACTCATAATGGTATATCAAATGTCCTCCATGTTCATGATTAACAATCAATCCTTGAATGCACATTTTACGAAATTTTATACTGAATTTCTTCTGTATTTGCTTTGGAGCTTCCTCCCTCCCCACTCTCTCCCCCCACTCCCACTGTGTTTCGCTTGCAAATATTTTTAGCTGAAATGATTGTAATGAGTAAATGCAAGTTCAAATATGGCTTCTCGACAAATGGGTTAGGTAAAAAAAGCTAAAAATTTTGAAGCAAATCAAAACCTTCAGCAGAACTTACTTCATGATCTATGTATGCTTTCCAGTAACGGCCAGCATTCGGAAACTGCTTCACTAATTTCTCGTAAAACGAACGCACCTGATCAATTGGTCTAGCCTGAAATTCCAAAAATTGTAGGATTTGTTTGAGTATCATAGTATCCCTCTGACCTGCTTTTTGCCCATTTGAATAAAAGCAGAGAATAAGCAAGTTTATTTCAAAGAAAAATTGTTTCAAAGAGTTCCATCTTTCAAACGTATTCTCGTCATCTAGATCTATGAAGAAACAAAAGAAGTTCAGTGCAAACAATTCAAACTATTTCTAGTGTAAAATGATGATAATTATAAAAATATTCCAGCTCAATTAATCTTCACTACTTTTTACTAAACAAAAGTGTCCCTCCAAATGATACCAAAGTATAATTCAAAAAAAAAAAAAATTGGTCACAATTATTCCGAAAAGTCTACTTTTAAATGGAATATGTTATAACGTTAACTGGCGTATTCCCTTACTTTAATACTGAAGATTTAATAAAACTGAGATATAGTTATTCTAAGTTATGTACCACTTACTACTACTAAAATTTACTTGTTCATTAAACTAATCAAATTGAGAGTTTACGTTAAACCAAATATCTTTCCACATATAGTATCCGATATAACAAATACCTGTGACTCTCGCAGCAAAAGATTCCAGGCATCAACATCAAAAGGATTAAGTTCAATCCGACGTTCGGGACTTACAATCGAAAGCGAACTCATCGATGACCTTAAAATGAATGGAAAAATCATCGAATATTTTAGTTCATGAATTAAACAAACAACATGAATCACTTTGCAGTTTTTAGTTCTACTCACCATACAATACAGTCTAATCACCATCAAGGTATTTTAAGGTATTTTTGATCAAACAATTCTCCTGACTAACTGAAGAAGATACCAGTGAATTAATCAGAAAATATTCCAATCAACTTAAATAAATTTAGAAAGTATTCTAGATCATAGAACTTTATGGATTGTTCAGATGTAAAAAATTTGAAAAAAAAAAGAAAAGAAGACAAATCGCTTATTTAAATTCAAGCGTACTTACATAAATATAACAAGAAATAATTTTTTTCCTATTCTAACCTTCTAACACTCTCAATCTCTAATTAATATTAAATCACAGTGATTCTACTACTATTTCCTAGGCCCTTCATTTCATTCCCCTTTTGTTCTCCTCATCAATTCCTATAATTCCTCCCCTGAAACGATTATTGTCCTCAAATCTGATGCATTTTCTAACTTTCATATCCATCAATTTATCTCATTCATTCTGATCCCTAATCTCTCTCAAGTCTGTATAATATCTCATTGCTCTCAATCCCTAATCTATAATATCTCGTGATCCTATCAATCTCTGACTCTCTCAAGTATACACACTACCACATCCAAATAAAGAAAGCTCGACACTATTCTACGAACAATGAAAACAACAAAAAACGCATCAGCTCAAACCGAAATGACTACACAACAAGTTGTCAACTTTTCGTGTTGGGAGTTAAAACCACGATAAAAGCTTCATATAACATCTGAAAGACACTGTTACAATAATTAAATTAAAAATTAAATTATAACACATTATGTATGTATTCATTGATTTACATTGCATTAAAATTTAGATTCAAATTAAAATTCTAAATATCTCATTCTAATTTTAAATTGATTAATCAATTCAGCTTGACTTTAAAGATATGATTTTATTTTGTTTCATAAAAATTGTTCATTTGCATTTTAAAAATATTGGAACGTTAAATTCCTTGTAACATACTATAAACGGATAATTCTATGGATATATGATACTATGAAAAGGTCTATGGAATTTATTAAATCAGATATTAGGATAAGATGCCTAAAATATTGTATGAGTAATATCTTAAACTAATGTTTTAAATAATATTGAAGTGTAAGAAATAAATTCAGCTTTGGGTATAAACAAGATAATTACACGTAAATAGTCGAATATTGGATTACAAACGCATAAATAGTTTCACTGAACTAACTAAATATATAAGACGTATATGAGACGTGTAATTGCGTATACAGACTGTGTCAAATCAATATATCAGGTGGCTATCATATGTTGTATCTTTTTTTTCGGGATATCTCGGGAATGAGTTGTTAATGACTCGTCGTCCAGGTGTACTGACATTTATTTGGCGTAATTTTTTGGATTCGCTTGATCGGAAACGATTCCAGAAGACTTTCGTTGGTAATGATGAACAAGGTAACAAATATTACGAATTAACCAAATCTCGACGAATTGTTAACAGGTCAGTAGTGTTGGCGGTGTTGGTGGATTTTTTTTTCAAATATCGAAACTTTACTTAGGAATTTTGCTTTATGTAGTTTTTTTTTTTTTTTTTTTTTTAGGGAAAGATGAAATAACGCTGTCATCTTCATTATAGTGGTGTGAAATTACAGATTATTTCGGCTGATAAAATAACATTCTGATGAGTTCCAATTGTAATTAAATCGCATTAAGTTATGGAATAAATTTCAAGCTATGGATTCATTTTCAATAAAATATAAAATGGGTGGAATAGATTGTGTGGTGAGTTATAACAGATTCTGTAGTGAACTTGAGTAATAAGTCAGACGGGTAGCTGCAGTCATTTCCAGATAAAAATTCTTCAAAAGCTCAGTAGACATATACTGACAGAAAAAATAAATTAATTAAAAATTTTCGCCTTGTCTAGTGCGCGGAATCGATTGTACAAATTTTAATAATTTTTCAAGATTAGAGTTACATAATATGATATTATAACAGTAATTAGGCTTTAAATCAATGTGACATGAAGGTATATAATTAATTTCGTATACATTTCTGCTCTTCGTTTTTACAGCATAATAAACATTACAGGGGTTTTGTTCCAGCAAATACGTCATCTCAGGTGCCATCACCAGAATGGCTAACATGGCTACGAGGAATACGGAAATTGCCACCTACAGAAGAAGAAATCTTGGCGAATAAGCAAGCTAGAGAAGAGGTTTATGATTAAAATTTTCATTCAGTTGTTTGCAATGTAGATAAAGTTTTTCTTCAAAATTCTAATTAATTTTTCAGTCAGCAGGGATAAAATTGGTAATTTTATTTTCATAAGTCTTTAGCTAAAACCGTCATATGATTATGTGATAAACTATTCTATATATAATTTTCGTTTTATTTTCTTTATTGTTATTTTAACTAATTATCCAAGCAGCTGTCTTGTATTTTTGTACTTGACAACCAGGAGAATTACATATTTTATGGTTATCACTATTCAGTAATCTTGCAGGTGGTAGAGAAGATGAAAAAGCTAGAACAGGATAGAAGGAACGAAATTCCAGCTAGTGAATCAAAAAAGATACCTTACATAGAATCGACAACGATATCGGACGATTTCGATTCACAACCTAGAGGTTTTCCACGTTACGTGGACTACGATAAAAAACAGCCAGAAATGTCATGATTGTATTTTTGTTTCTTAGAAATTTTTTTGTTTGAAAAGTTCTTGAGCAGGTTATTCTAAAATTCGAATCTGAATTATTTAAATTATGAAGGATTCAGCAAACTTTTAAAATTTTTAAATCCAGGAAAAGTGATATCCCATTAGAAATGGGATATCACTTTTCCCATCTGATGTTGTTGAGCCATTAGTGCACTTCAATTAATGTAGGGATGATTAATGTAGAAGAAATTTAAGACCAGCATTGTAAGATTTGTGAACTGCATTTTTATTCCGTCGAAATAAATGTATAGCTGAAAAGTGTACTTTTGCCAATCTTTACCATGAATTAATTTATTTTGTTTGTTAGCTTTCTTGTACATTGCTTCATAGTTACTACACATTTTTCTGGAATACACATTTTTGAAAGTTTGATTTTTGTCTGATGAATATCGGAATGACTATCATTATTTCATCTCGTATAAAGCTGAAAACAGTTGCTTTGATTAACTAGTAAGTTTGGTAAACTGATGCGATTGATCTCGGGAAGACATTCTTAGCTATAAACTGTGGTGTGTGTTGACGAATTTCTTGTGTAAAGCAGTTAAGCAGTATAACATTCACCTGTGAGGCTTGGACAGAATAAGCAATATGCAGTCTATAGCTTTTTCTAGATGAGCGCAAAATTGTGCCATGCATTATTAGCACGCCGATTATTTTCTGGTATCTCCAACACAAAGAACCGATTTTATGAGGTAATCATAAAATTAAAAAAAAAAAAAAAGAATTATGAAGAAATCATGATATTAAATATCCACTTTTAAAGGCATAAAGTGCTTTAGGTTGTAAAGGGAATGATTTTTTAACAAATATTTTGGTTAAATCAAGTGATTTTTCATTAGCGAAAATTTTAAACTCTATTGCTTACAGGAAGCGCGAGTTGTATTTAAGCCTGTGGAAGAAGTTTATAACATATATCTTGATAAACACTGTTTAGTTACACCAAAACGGAACCCAGTAGAGGTTTGGTTTTCTTGCAAAATATTGTGTTTTTTTTCCATAATAACATAAAATTGATCAAGATGTATTCCTTTTTTTTTTTTTTTTGTCATATGTCATTCAATAAGAAGTGTGAAGGTAAAAGCCATCTGTTTGCTTTTTCAGATATATTCTGAAGCGCTTGCACTTGCTGTAGCGCAGGAGTGGAATATGCAGACGAATGAGTTAAGGGTAAACTTAATGAGGCTCACAGGCTTGATTTTCACAGCCACCGATAATCCAATGTCATTGCAGAAGTATGCATTTTTCTTTTTTTTTTTTTTTTGAAAGCTATATTACCTTACTAATTTTTGTGGAAGTGAGAATTCAGGGTAAGAATTTGTTCTCACCCTGAATTAGTGTAGCAATAAGGAAATTAGCTTAGTATGCTCTTCATATTTGCATAAATATGTTACAGTTAATGTTAACTTAATCTTTAATGTAACTGTTCATAAATTGCTCCTGAACCGGTTGTTTAAGACTATTATGTCGAAATAGTATAGAATTAATTTATATAATTCAAAAGATAAGCAGTACGCTTTATTTATCTTTGTTGAATGATTTAGTTCATATTTTCAGATCTGATCTTTTATCACAAGTGCTCCAATTCCTGGATAAAGATACAGTTCTTTATCGACTGGAAGAAAACAGTAATTTACTACACCTGGAAGAGACAAATTGGAATCCTGTAGTTGAATGGGTAAACTGGGAGTATGGTTTGTCAGTGAAACCGAGTTATTCAATAGTTGAAGGCTGGTTGAATTTTTTAAATGTTTCATGTTTGTTTTAATGAATTAGCTAATTTTGTCGACTGTAAACAGTTAAATGACGGTCATCGTGAATTTTTGAGAATTAATTGTTTAGCACTCTTTCATTATGTTAACAGCAGAACTTGTTAAATTGCATGCAGAAATTCTGAATTCGCAGAAACTTTTGAGAGTTATCCTATCCTTATGAATGATTATTGTAGTGTCTTTCAGAAGCTGTGATTGACAATAATTCTCGGGTTCGTTTGGCAAATCAGCTATCAGATTACAATTTTCTACAACTGGTCGGTTTACAATATGCCACTGAAGCGCTCAAATCTGTGTTTCTCACCTTGGCAACCGTATCCTCTCGTTTGGATGTTGATGAAGCCGTTGAGCTAGCACTTCTTGAACAGAAATACCAAAGTGATATTTGGGGAAAGGTTGATGATTCTAGATTGAATATCAGTTTTTGTCCAAAAAAATACTCTCAACTTTTTTTTTTGGCGGAAGCATGATTGTCTATTACTGAAAATAAGCAACTTATGCGTAATGGCGAAGCGATAAAAATAATTGCAGGTTGAATGGGCACATGATATTGAACGAGAAGAGCTGATTTCACGATTATCGGCCGGTGTGTTATTAGTACATTTGGGTGATTTTGAACTAGGATACGAAGCAGAATCTCAAGAAAATGAAATTGTGAAGAATAATAAAGAAGTGGTCTAAAGTTTTTTCGATTGCTGCAGAATCCATTTATTTGAAATTTTCGATTATATGTAGCTTTAACATAGATAACACTAATTTCTTCATTTTATATGTGTTAGTCGTTTAAGTATTAATAGGGTAGAAGATACTGTGAGTATAAATAATCAAAGATTGATTTGAAACGAAGGTTTGGAACGTCCATTTGAAAGGATAATACTTAGATGCTTGACGTGTGGTAATCATTTTGCTTAAATGTCTGGTGCTCAATTTGTCTCTGGAGAATTATTTGATAACTCTCCATTTGTCATATGGGATATTGATGATCATTTTTGTTTTGTTGTTTTACCTGTTTTGATATGTAATTGTTAATGATTACATCTAATATTTAATTTGATAAAATGTTTATCACCAAAGTTAATGTATTCATTGTTTGATGTGTTTAAAATTCATCATTTATCTCGCTGATATTCATTAAATTTTTCCTTTTTTGACTATATACTATTTATTATTAAAAATTGAAAACGGGTGCTTCTTATGTGTTTTCTTCTAATTTCGTTAATTTTCATCATAATTAAATCATAATTGTAATCTGAATGTTAGAAATTTTTGAAAAATTGAGAAGCAAAGGAGAGAAAATGTAGAGAGTATGAATAGTGGTAAAAGAAAAAAAGCTATAAATGTGTTACTTTAATGTGGCCAAAGGTTAAGTTACTTCACTTAGGTTTAGTTTGTAATTTGTTTTCGTAATGTTTGTTCATCTTTGTGTGTCTCTGTGTATGTGTATGTCTAAGTTGTTTATTTGTTTGTATGTGTGTGTGTATTTGTGTATGTGTCATTTGCATCCAGTTGCTGTCAACATTGACTGTTTTCATCCTTATTTTTTTAACTTTTGTGAAAAATTCTCAAATGTTGCAACTTCTTTCATATTGCTTTTATTTGTCGGGAAGTGGTTCTTTTTTTTTTTTTCTAATATAGAATTCATGGATATGATTAAAGTAATCATTCGAAAGTAAGTGATAATATAGAGAGTAGTTCGATAATGAAGAATTACTTAATATTTATGAGGTTTGTGATACTGTTATGTATTTACTTTCAGAGATAGCAATTCTAAGAGGAGTGATAAAGAAAGGAAGGGGAATCGAGATAAAAGAAGACGATTGTTGTTAATTTGATGGCATTTTTTATGATAATTTTCCAATAAGCTGTGAATGAGTGTTTAAATTTTTCAAATTGTCATTTGTAAAGTTTTAGTTCATAATAAACAATTTAGTTTAGCATAGTATAGGTGAAAAAAAAAAAGTATCTCTCACAACAAATGGGCTGAATATCAGAAATGAAAGTACGATTATTTTAGTTTTACTTCACTCGTTAGTAATTTAGTCGAGAATTTTTACACATTCCTGAGTAACCTTACCAGTATTTTTTCGGTTTTTCGTTGATGATTAAAATGAATTAAGATTATTCGTAGGTTTACTGATATAATATGAAGATTATTATTCATACGTTTACTGATATAATAATATAATGTACTAAAATCTATATCGTATTAGAGTTAGCTTATTTTGATAGTATTTCATTTTTTTTTTTCAAGGAAATTAATATTGAGCGTATCTAGCATGCGTGAATATTCTTAGGAGGTTTTTGTTTTTGTTTTTAATAAAAATTAGCGAAATTTAAGTTGTTGATAAACACATTAAATGTATTATTATATACTACAAATTGTTTTTTTATAATATATTTTGACGTTACACTCAGATTCATTTCCAAAAATGAATTTAAATTGTAAATATATATATATGAATTAGAGTTATATGTGAGAGTTAAATGTTTAGCACTCAGTGTGTATATGTCTGTGCTTTACAAATTATACAAACAATGAGAGGGAAAAGTATGAGTGAGAAATGGTGATTGATTAGACTTGATGATCCATTAAAAATATGTTAAATTGTTCTCTTCAGTTTGCTTAAGTTTCCACTTATACTTTTTTTTTTTATAGTTTTCTACACTTGTAGTTTAAAATTTTCTTTTTTTCAAAAAAAAAAAAATGTCAAAACTTATCTGCATTTTTGAATATAACAAAAGATTAATTATCAGAGCATTTTGGATACAAGAGAAGAATTGATGCCAGTGCTTTAGTTGTAAGAGGAAGAAGTTTACTTATTTTCTTGATATAGTAGGGACAAATTCATTGCTAATTAACGTTTTTTTTTCTTTTCATTTCTATTTATACTATATTTGTTATTGATATATTTGTAGAGATATCAACAATGTCACTGCGTCGAGTAACATTTAGTGGACGATTTGCACAAAACGAAAGTAATGCAGAAGAATCAAGAACTATGATTATTGCTAAAGGACTTTTTGCTTTAACAGTCGATGTTGGAATTGCATTAGCTGTAGCATTTTATGCATTAAATATGTTTGTTGGCAAACTTGCTATACCATATGAACGTGGTTTCTACTGTTATGAGGTAAATTTTTTCTTTTTTAAATTTGCAGAAATGAAAAATTTCTCATTATTTGTACTTGCTATATTATTTTGTAGCAGTTATATTTTACTCACAATTAATGAGTAAAAAATATGAGGAAACAATGTGCTATGTTTTTGTTTTTTGAATAGTTTGGGAAAGTTAAATTTACATCCGAAAAATAACATTAATCAGTGAGTAGTTAGGTAAAGAATCATTTTTTTAATAGACCAATTTTTTTCATTAATTTTCTTCCTTTTTTTTTTTGTTGAATTTCTAAGTTCTTTATTTGTTGCTACGTCTAGTATTGTGAATATCTAATGTATTTGTGATTTAACTTTGGACTATTCCACATTTTTGTTTTTTTTTTTTTTTATAACCTCTTTTGTTGTAATTGTTAAAATGGATTTAAATTTGCGAAAAGAAGAGAGAAATCCTAAAAGATTGGAGCATATACTAAGAGATATATTGAAGTGCAAATATGAGTTAGTCGGTGTTGCAAAAAAATACTAAACTTATTCTTGAAATAGCATATCTCATATGAAATTTTTGTAAGGTAGTGAATTGCTGCAAATTGAGTTGTTAGTTTCTTCAAATTTTCATGTAATCAGAAATAGTAATAATATTAACAATAACATTGTTGAAATTAATAGTTGTGACAAATTTTGACTTTGACAGCACCGCTTAATGTTTGTTTTTCTTCCAGGTACCACATATTAGTAATCCGTTTCGTCCAAATACTATATCAACAAAACATTTGCTAGCTGTATCCATTGCTTCACCACTTTTCATCATCCTATTAGTAGAAGCTGTAGTATTTGTAATATCTGATGGTCGAAATAAATTGCGCAAATATTTTCACTTTACCACATCAATCTATCTCATGTATATTGTTTCATTTGTTATTGCAACATTTATAATGGAGGTATTCTCTTTTCTTTTTAATATTTTCATTTCTTTACCTTTATTTATACGTAATTCAATGTTCTCATATCGTCTTAATATATCTTGCACTGATTTGAAAGTTTGAAAATTAAAATACATTCAAATACTAACTCTAAAAACTAATAATCTTTTTTTACGAAAGATAAAGATGAATTTTCCATATTTCCAGGTGCTGAAGTGCGCATTCGCTCGATTAAGGCCACACTATTTAAGTGTTTGCCAACCGAACTGGAAGGAAATCAACTGTACCGACCCAAATGCTTATATCGAAAGTAAGTGTTATTTGTTTTCAGTTTAAGCTAGATTAGTTTGAAGTTGAATGCTATAGTAAAATATTATGAGGAAAAAGAATGAGAGATAAAGCTTTACATAGTGAAAGTAAAAATAGGTTAGAAAAAAAAGTTTTGACAGATTAGAAAATTTTGATAGGTTTAGTTCAAATTTTTAAAAGAATAAATCTCCAATATATGTTTTAACTTTCTACTACTAAAGTAAGCAAGTATGTGAATGCGAGTAACAAGCTGAGCGGAAAATATTATAATTGGAATTTTTCGAGGTAGTATGACTTAATTTTAATAAGAAATTATGAATTTGTAAGTGTGAATTGTTTATTTGTAGGTGTAAATTGTTTGGGAACGAATATGCATCGAATTCGTATCGGACGTCAAAGTTTTCCAAGTGGTCATACATCAGCTGCTGTATTGCTCTTTTTATTCTTTTATTTTTACCTGAAAGGTACGCTACCAAAAAATTTTGTCTGATGGCAAGAAGTTTTATCTAAGCGATGTACATATATTAATTATAATAATTTTGTAATGATAATTAGAAAATATATACTAATTATTTCGTATGATAAACGATATATGTATTATATTTGTTAGTTCAGAAGAATTTATTAATGATTTTAAATACGAAAAGGTATAAATGAGGACGATATGTTATTTTCAACGAGCTTCTTTTTGTTGAAATATTTAATAAAATTTTTCTCATTTTTTTTTAGCATTTCTCTTAAAATCCTTGCTTTCTCAGTTTTCATTTGTCTTATTTTCATTTATCATTTTTTTTTGAAAATACTATTTAACTGTTTAAGATAACATTTTTAAATGTATTATTTATTATTCATATTTTTTATTTCTCAAAAGAAATTTTGCATTAAAGAAAGCGAATATTGTTTTAAGCTTTCATTCTTATAAAGTTGAATTAATCAATTTATTTATTTATTTTTTTATTTGTTCAGGTATTGTTGATGCTACTGGCAATAAATTGTTACGAGTAATCCGTTTTACGGTGCTAATTATAAGTGGTACATGGACAGTAGTGGTAATGGTAACTCGTATAACTGATTATTGGCATTATCCGACGGACGTTTTAGGTGGAATAATATTAGCTCTTTCATGCGCGTATATTTTTATTCGGAAGACACACTCTTCATTGGTTTATCAGAATCGTTTGCTAGAAAATATGCATAATTCATAAAAATTTGATTTTTTTTTTCTTTCCGTTATGTTTTGTTGTTATAAATTTAAGAGGAAAGAAAAGACTATCCGGTTCTTGTATATCATGTTTTGCCTTTATTTTTTTAGAATTTAATTGCTCGCCTATCACTTGTAGCTTTGAATCTCAGTATTAAGTGTAATTCTTGAATGTTTCAAAATCAAATTCTGTTTACATATCAAACTCTTTGATGACTGGCTACTAATTTTCTTATATAGCAAAATCTAAATTGAAGCTTTATTTTGTACATATCGATAAATTTATTTTCAAAGAATTGTTAGTGCTAAAATGGAGTTTGATATGAATAATATAATATATACTATATGCGATCATTGGCGACCAATGTTTTTTTTTTTTTTTGTTTTCCAATTTTCTTGGTTTTTTTTTTTTTTTCTGTTATGTAATTTAGATTTTTGTTATATTTGATATTTCCTCATTTGATATCATATTTTGATGCTTTTCTGAATATGAAGTATTCTTCAGGTTGTTGATTTTAATTGGAACTGGTTATTATACACTTATTATTTCTATTACTGTCATTATCATTTAGCTATGTCAACATGCTTATATCTCAAATTTATTTTATACTTGGAATAGGTTGATAAATTTTCTGTTTCCTTTTTTGAAGGTATATCTACCAACAATAGAAATGACATGTTTTTTTTTTTTTTAATTAAAATATATCGCTTTCCTGAGTTTAAATCAACATTTAAATTGAATTACAGTTGTAACTTTGCTACTCACAAGATGATTGATAATTTCTCAGAGGAAAGAATTTTGTGAAGGCCTGGAAATCAAAATTAAAGTTTAGATTAGAGTCAAATTCTTTCTCTCATGAAATTCATGGATTCTTAGGATCATCCAAGATATAACGGAAATGCTGAACAGTGAATTATTCAAGTGAGATCGAATTCTTGAAATTCCATTTTTTTTAGTTAGGAAAGTATATGTGTGAAAATTTAAAATTTTCTTCATCTCTTTTAGTTGTAACTTAGTGAAAATAGTGAACATCACCAAAATTTTTTCCTTTTTATTAAGTTGCCGGAAGTTTTGTTTATTCATTTCAAAAATCACAAGTTTTTCCTGGAGAATCGAAGTACAGTTTCAAATTATTTTGCCTTGTATTAGGAGAAGATAACCTTTATTAAATTACTTGCTTTCCAAACCTAGAGTTAAAAACTTGGAAAGAACCTGAAAAAATGATTTCTATGATGTGATTCTATTTGAACTATATCTTTTGAAACAATTAGCCTACATTAATTCAGGTAATACCTGTGCACTGGATGGCCTGTTTTGATCCGGATGAACTTGCCGATTTTATCAGATATCAATGCATTATTAATGCTGATGATAATGGTCTATGTAAGAAGATATTACGACCACCGGCAAGGTATAACAAAAAAATTAAATTTTCCTTTTATTCGTTTTGAAAAATGTATTTTATTTAATGAATATTAACTGTAGCTGACGAGAGTAATTGCTTTTTCTAATGAAACTTTTCTTGATTTTATTTGTTTGAGTTTACGTTTCTACGATTTTTTCTTTTTTTTAAATGGAATGTTTGCTCTTGTATTTTTAGTTAGTTAAGCATGAATATGTAACTTTATATTCATTTTTAAATGTGAAATAAGTAAAAATGATGAAAATAGTGGACTAAGTTAAATTATTATTCATGTATAAGATTTCAAATTGGTTTCAGAAAAGCAAAACCTGGTGGTTTACCATTAAATTTTCGTTCTACAGATGATTCTGATACGAGTAGTGAGGAACACTCTCCATGCTATTTGGTCTGTTGAGATTACCTCTCTTCATTTGCAACAAAATTTGAATAAATAAAATCAAATTAAATTTACAAACTTGCCGGTTTTTTTTTTTCAGGCTACTCCTGATTACCAGTCAACTTACGAACTATTACAGGAACGATTACGTTCTAGAATTCAGGAAAATGACCTATCGGTTCAAAGTGATGAAAATAAAGAGATAAAAAATGATGCAGTTAAAACACAACTGAGTACATCAGATTTGGAATTTTTTCAATGTGATGATAGATCATGTAGTTCATCACCACTTCCTGCGAAAAAATCCATTATTGGATTGTAAGCTGTTCCTATTTAATCATACTTAAGAGTTATTTTTAACTTGGAAATTAATTTTTGCTTTTAGACTTTTGGAGAAAACAGATTTTGTAATCAGATCTGATCTTGCAGCTTATGCAAGGTTTGCTGCATCGGTAAGTATCGTTTCTAAACTTGACTTTTTTTTTTACCTGAAAATATTCGTATTTCAAAAATATGAGAAACAGTAGATCATAATTATTAGCTTTGTAATAAATTAAAAAATTTTCTTGACGTGTCTGTTATTCGTACAATATTATTAGTATTGCATTGAACATTACAAAGTATAAAATGTTTTCTTTACCAATAAGCTTTTTTTTTTTTAGAAATGGACAAATAATTTAGCTATAAAATAAACTTCGTTTTTTTTTTATAGCTAATTGAGTTGATCAGAAAAATTTTCCAAACTCCTTTGGTTGATTTGAATTAGAGATAAACAAAAAACAGTTTAGTAGAATAAATGGATATGTATCGATTACTGCATAGTATCATCATCTATTATTTGAAAATATTATATTTATTTTTAGGATATCAAAAATGGTCGAAAACTATTAGTTTTCTACCCTTTTGCCGAATCTGAACCAGGCAGTAGTAAATGTTTTTCATTAATTATCTATGCTCAGTGCGAAATTTGCATTTCTGATCTTGTTGGTTTATGTTGCTATGAATATGCACGGATTCGAAGGACAAATAGTATTGAGTATGCATTTCGGCCCTTATTAATTAGCATGAAAATTATTAATTAATTAACATTGATTCGTAAAATCTGTTTCAAACAAACTTTATTTCATCATAAAGTGTGCTTTTTTTGAATTTCGTCAAATACTACTTTACTAATTTATCATTAGAAGTTCTAGCTACTAGTAAATTAGCATTAATATAGCGCGAAAAGCTAAAATAACCTATTTTATTCCGTTTTAATTCCTGTTAATGTATGTTTTTGAAATATTTGGGGTTTTATGCTTCAACAATAAATATGAGATTCTTAATAGAAAAAACTATGAGTATAGTATCATAAAGTGCACATTAACAAAAGTATGAAGTTTTATTTTTTTTTTTTGCATGACCTGAATTTGTTGTTGTTTTCAAAATTTAAGAAATTAAATGAGTCATCTATTTAGAATTTCTTTATTTTCAGATCAGTTACGCAATATCATTTATTGATGGCTGAAGAAAATGGTGAAGTGGATCGAGACTTACCGGCAGTTGATGGTCATCGTTTATTAAATGAACTTGGCGCATGTTGGTCAACGGTTGCTCTAGAGAAACGACAGAATCTTAATTATTTGGGATTAACAAATGTTGTTGTGTTAGTTCTGTTGTCGCGTTTTTTTTTCTTTTTTCTTTTTTGGAGCAATCAGTGGAGACTGATACCTTCCTGATGTTTGATTTAGAGGCAAATACAATTCAGGTATACCATAAGTGGTAAACAATATGAATTTTCAATGGATTCATTGGATGTACCTTTGCAATGGCTTCGTGATCAGGCTATCAAGAGACGTATCGAGGATGAGGGTCAAGATTTCATGAGTGATTGCCCAGCTTGTGAGATATTTCATTCATTTTACTTTATTATAATTGTATATTTACTCGTATTTTTTATGAAATAGAATTGTTTATTTAGTGCTAGCACTTATGTTTTCTAACTTAACTTTAGTTGGAATTCTGATCTTATTTGAAATGAATTCTATTTTACAAAAGTTGGAAGAAGTAAATTTGTTATCAATTCAATTTAAGTGCAAGAATATGTTTTGGAAACTATGAACCAACCTAATGTTGTGCTTGATCTCAATAAACCAATATCCAGTACGGCTTCATTGGAATTTCTACTGCTGCGCATAAACAGTTTGTTTTGTTTAATTTATTTGCAATATATTTTTTTCCATTGTTTATTATCCTCTTAATGGTTGAAAATGATGTATATGTGTATTTTTTGTTTATGTAACGGTTTTGTTTTTAAACAAAAATCTATTCTAGGCTCTAGAGGTGATTTTGCTCCAACATGTAGTTCAAGTCTTAGTCAGGAACATAGTTCAATTTCAAAAATTGAGGAACATTTGATAAGTTCATTACCAGAACGACGGAAGTGCTCTGGTAAATTTTAAATTTATTTAATTTTACGATACACGCTAATGTTGAATAATTCTTTCTTAAAAAGTAAAAAAATTAAAAGAAATATTTTGAAAGTTGGTTCTCTTGTTGAAAATCTCTAGTTTAATTGAAATTCAATTTTAATCTTGAATTTATTATTCGACTCTTTATAATTCAATCTGTAAATAATACAGTAGAATAGTACGACACCATTTCAGCATCAGATAGCGATATCAAAGATTCACTAGATAATTCGATTGCATCTTATTTAGTAGAGAAGATACATCGATATAAGCCGAAATGGAATGCTTTATTAAGTAAAAGTTACTCGTATTTATTACTTTGTATCTCCTACGTTTTCTTTTTATAATACTTATGATTTATCATTTATTAAAGGACATCTAAAAAGTTATGCTTTTTTTTTATGTTTTTTTTGTTTTATGAAATTATCTTATTCATCGCGAAAACAATTCATGATTTATTAGAAGTTATTTTATCTATGTTTTAACGGTTGTTCTTTCTTTTCTTTTTTTTTCTTATATCACATTTCTCTATTTTTGTGTAAATTAATTTAATACAACTATAAAAAAAGAACTACTTCATGGGATGTCATTTTTCTTTGTTATAGCTATTCAAAAGAATGGTTTTGAATTAGGACCAAGCCATATGGATCGAATAAGAAGACGAAATTCCATATTTTTACATTTTTCTATGAAAACTTTGTGCGTAGCATGGGATTACGTTGGTGGAGTTGAAATCACTGATCGCTCAAACTGTAAGTTTATGGGTTTTGTTAATTAAAAATCTAGTACTATTATTATTTTGCCTAAGTTTTAATTTTCATTTTCCTTCTTAAAAAAAGAACAAAAGTTTAATGAATTCACGAAGGGATTTAATCTTATTTGACAACATATGTATCAAAGGTTCATTTTAAGAACATACAAATTACATGTTGCATAGTTTGTCTTATCACTCAATGATATCTGTTCGAGAGTACTGACAATTCTTGTTTTCTTTTTAATCTATGTTTCATTTCATTTCTTAATTCTTTTTATTTGCAGCAAAACGAGGAATAAGGATTGTTTGGTTATCATATCCAGCAATAAATCAATCAGAAGCACTACAAACAAGCAAATTAAGTAGTAGCATGCAACATTCAACATTAAGTTGCGAATCAGATATATTAACTGAAAATTATGAATTATCAAAGCGAAAGGTTAGTGATATTCATTGGCAGTTATTGAATTTTCATTGAATCCATATTGTAGTTCATTTAATGTTTTACTGTGTTTTGATTTTTGCTAAGAGTTAAGAGTTAATTAATTTTATTAGCTTTTTTCTTCAACTATTTTTAGCCTTACGATGGTGCATGTTGGAAAATATTGCAGTTGGAGGCAGATGTTGATGATGCTTGGAGTATAGCAGAAAAGGTTTAAATTTCAATTTCTTCTTGAATGATAATATGACTAGTACTAACAATAATTTATTGTGTGATAAAATGTTTCACTAATATAAGTGATAATTTTATTGATATAGCATCTAAGTCAAGTCATTGGATAATTTGTAAGCCATTTGATTTCAAATTTAAACAAATAAATTTAAAACTGTCAAATTTATTACTCTAAAAAATGTGAAGCTTTTTGATATCCTGCAAATTCTTGCAGATAAATACCATAATCGATAATATAAATTCAACAGTTCGCCAAATTTACAAATATTCAAATGGTGGAATTAAGAAGCCAAAAAAAGCAGCTGCAAAAGCATTTAGTAGTGTCCCTGATATACAATTCAAAAGACAAAATAGTTCTGTTAGTCCTGCAATTCGCACAGTATCCCACTTAACTGCCACAATGACAAATGCAATTCCGCTACTGTTGAAACTATTGTCGAAACATAATTAAATTTACCATGTGATTGAAGGATACAATTTAAACTTTTTAGGTAAATTTTAGGTTGTGGAATATGCGAAAAGCATTTTTAATTTAGAAACACTTTTCTTTCGTTTACTATAAAGCTATGTTGTATTGTACTGTATTGTTTAAATAGTTTGCTGTTTATGAACTATTTCATCTAGAAATGGAATTCTGGCGTTTTCTGAATTTTCAATCTCTAAATTGTTAATTCTAATGTTTGAAGTTGAATTAATTGTTAGCATTGAGATTTTTATTCCTAAAAATTCAGAAAGATTTAAATTCTTCCAAAATTATACAGCGCGAAATAAAAACTCAACAAGCTTTAGACAGCTTTAAACAAAGTATTTCACTGAAATATTTTTAAAATAAAGTAACAATTAATAAATGTACATTTACAAGATGAATTATACCTATTGTATTACATCTACACAAACATGCACACTATATTTTATCATAAACATTGTTTGTACCTTTAGAACTTTTCGAACTTCTTTTAATATGTTCAATATATTTTGTTCACATCAAATTTATCATATCATTTGATAAAAATTCAGTACTACCAGTGTTTCGCTTAGAAATTGAACTGATGTATATAAATATATAAACAAGATAATATTTTTATTACAATTTTTTATCATATTTATCAAAAATCCATTTTATGAATTCTTGATTGTATCTGTCTAGCTTTTATTAGCTCAGTAGCTGAAATTGATTTTCTGAAAGTGAAATTGAAAATTTGAAATTAAATTTTAAAATGATAGTTTTTTTAGGCATGAAAGTATAAGTAATTCTTGTCCAAAATAAAAATGACAAAAGAAAATAATCTGATCATTTTGAGTAGCATCCATTCGTTGAATTGTCATTTCAAATGCTTATTTATATTCCTATTCTAAATTTCATCGCTTTTTTTTTTCAGATACATATTCCATCGTTTGATATTTTTATTTTGTACATTTATATGTATTTAAATATTTAAAATAAGTTCCATTTCAAATAATTTAATTGGAATAAAAAAATTTCCAATACAATTCCACCAACATTACAATAAACAACTTAAAAACTTTTTCCCGTAATATTTCAAGATAAATACTATAGTCACTATCAAATTTTCATAAATTTGGATGCAAAATTAACAGGCTAACTGCAATTTATGCATAATCTATTTAAAATATTATTTCTAACAAAAATGTAAATTATGATGATTTTTTCATAATTAAATTTAAAATTTGAAAGATTTGTTTATGTTTACATAATGCAAAAAGAAAGTAGCATAATTGATTGATATCAGAATACATTATTATAAGAGATTTTTCCATTGTTTTAATTCTTATTATAAATTTTCATATTACAAAAAAAAAAAAAAATCTTATGTTTGATGTTTTTGTAATTAACTTGGATTATTTTTAGTTAACTTAAATTTTTAACTTTTTTTTTCAATTATGTTTTAATTAAGTTTTAATCAAACTTTCAATATGAAAATTCAATAATTTTTTTTTCAATTATGAATTATTTTTTTGCTTTTCAAAGTATTGTATACGTACGGTATAAAATTCTTTCCAATTCTGATTATTCACTCTCATTCACTCTCATTCTTTCATTCTATTATCACTCTCAAATCTTAGCAATCTTTTTACCCTCTGCTGAAATCACTTTATTTTTCTTTGTGCAGCGAAATATATATAATGATATATTTTATTAATTTATTAGCATTTATTGCTAATTAATAGTGAACTAATCCTAATATTGGACGAATTTATTAGCATTTATTGCTAATTAATAGTGAACTAATACTTTTTTCAGTCGTCTTTTTTCTTTGTCTTTAAGCAATATACAAGGAAGGTAATTAATTCCATTTACTATAGGTATTCCATGCCATTTTCAATTCTAATTTTTATCAAATTACTTGTTTGAATTTTTTTAAACGTAAGGTGGCTAATAACTGAATTAGATTCGAAAAAAATTATATATATATATATATATATATATATATATAACGAATTTGATGGAAAAAGTGAATTTTGATTTTCAGGATGGCTCAAATTATCGATGATACAAATCAAGAAACATCCAGGTAAAGCATCAGCAGTTTTTTGAATCCTTTAAACTCAGAAATCATATTTTAAGACTCGTAATTTATATTCCTGAATTCATATTCTTGGATATTCTGTGATTTCGTGTGCTTACTAAATTTCATATAAAGAATAAATGAACCAAAGACGTATTTATAAACCTAATATCTACTATAACTTTCTATGTTAGCAAAATGAAAGCTAAACGTTAAACCGAAAACTGTTACGTGAACTATGCGTATATTTGCTCGTATTTCAGAACATCTTTATTAGATAATTTGGACGCACAGACTGCACACAACATGCATTTGATGCAAGTTTTTTGCCGCAAAATGCCAAAATGCGTTAGTTTATCATTGCTTATTCACTAAGGCGTCAATTGATGTTTATTTATTCATACTTGAATAAATGAATCATCGTACTTTATGAAATTTCATAATGTATCATATTTTCAGGAATTTCACGCTCATTTGAGTGGTTGTATCAGCCTTAAAATGCTTCGTATGCTGGATTTAAGGCACCAGAGTGAGCATGGAACTGATTTAGCTCAGAATAGACTAAAGAGGCTTAATGAATACGACCGAAAGCCGAAGAATTTGGAGGAGTAAGTATGTTTTATAGTAATCGTTGCTTTAACTTATCTTACATTTTTTTGATCAATTAACATGCACAGTTGGATTTTGAAGAATGAATTGTTACTCTAGAAATAACTCCTGATATCACCATTATTTTCAGACAGAAATGATAATTCTTTCTTTAGGGGACCAGAACTTTTTGGTAAACTGTACAATATTTTGTAGAGCATTTGAACTGTTTCCGCTCATACAACAGCTGGTTGTTAAATCTGAAGATGTTACACAGGTATTCTTGCTTCTAGTTTTTTATTTTGTCATTCACCTTATTTTCTATAGTTTTTTTTTCTCTTTTCTTTTTGAGGATCAAACAAAGTGATTAATAAAATATTAAAAGGTGGTAGAGCTTACAGTTTTCTGAGCTCGTATTTAAAAGCGAGTGCTAGCTTCCGCAAATAGCTTCAAATTTTTAAGTAGCCGTTACTAGGTTTATTGTTGAATAATTGTCAATTAGAGTAGTAGAAACACTGTGTAATATTTTGATATATATTGCATATTATGTTGAAAATTTTAGAGCTTTGCATCTTTCAATTTTAATACATTACTGGAAATCAAATTTAAGGTTACTATAGAGGTGATTAGAGAATTCAGTGAGGAGAATGTGGTGTATTTGGAGCTACGATCTACACCTCGACAAACCACCTTTATGTCGAAAGAGGAATACGTAAAAGCACTTATAACAGGTGTAGTTCAGTCAAGACAGCTCTTCCCGAACATTTGTGTTCGATTTTTACTCAGTATTGATCGACGACAAACAGTTGAAGAAGCTGAAGAAACATTGAAATTGGCTCTACGTTATGGTATGTAATTCTTTAAGGAAAATATAGTACTAAGATTTTGGTTGTCATATCATAAAGAAAGCTTAAATCTTGTGAATATCTTAAGTATCTGTTCTCATGATTAACGATTTTTTATGATTATTCTGAGTCAAAATCCATTACAAGGAAAATTTTTTAGTTCATTGTGCCTTCCAGAATGTTTTTCATTTCTAAGAAATGCAATCTTCACATTATGACAGGAGACATTTATTGTTTTAGGAAAATATAATAATGATGAGACGATAAATGGGATCATTATTGGTATTGATATAAGTGGAAATCCAAAGTACGATGCGCGGAAATTTTTGCCGCTTTTACAGAAAACTAAGAATGACTTTTCTGTCATTGCATTTCATCTAGCCGAGGTAATTTGTGTTAGTTGCATTTCATCTAGCTGAGGTAATTTGTGTTAGTAAATTTTCTTTTAAATTGGCTGTCATAAGAATTTTAGGACTACTTAGATTTATGACTTGTAAAGACTTTGGTACTATGAAGTTTGTACGATTTTCCAAATAACAGTTTTCAGTTTTGAAGTTTTTTTGCTGTTTCTTGCTACGCATTTGTTCTTTTTTGTTGGAGGTTTTAAGGATACTTCTTTATAGTATTTCTTAAACGATTAATCAAGAATGCAATTTTTATTTTATTCATACGAGGATTATCTTTTTTTTTTACATCAGTTATGTAAACTAGTATAATGAGTAGATATTAAATATTTCTGAGTTGTGGATTTTATTTTGAGATGAAAGAATACATAGATGAAATCGAGGAGTGCGTACAGTTTGGACCTACTCGAATAGGACATGGAACATTTTTGCATAGGATTTCAGATGAAATCAAGCGCAATAGGATTTTGGAATATTTATACAAAACCCATATCCCAATAGGTCTTTTTTTTTTTGTTTTAAATTGTTAGCTTTTGAAACTAGAAGTGTAGCATGCGAAATATTTATATATTAAACCTGAAAGCCATGCTTTAAATTTATCAAATACTGAAAAAAATCAATCTCTTAATTCCAGATTATCTTTTTTACCGTATCAATTTGTTGTACATTTTTGTCTTAATTACACTGTACCTTATCATAATGTGGAAGTAGAGAAGACAAATGTTGCATTATTAAATTAGGAAAACAATGAGATTGATGGTTGAGCACAGTCTGTTCCGCAATAAAATATACGAGGAACCAATTTATGTTTTATGAAAAGACAATAGAGACATGCATGATGTTTTGCATTACTAACATTTCTAATTATAGAGATATGTCTCAGTTCAAATTTGGTGTGTGGAACAGTTAAATCGGTGGAAGATAGTCATCTCATGCATTATTACGAAAAGAAGCATCCAATACTAATTAGTGTTAGTTTCCATATTAATTTTTTTTTTTTTGCTGGTAGAAAAGTATCGCAACTGTAAATAGTTTTAAATTTTAATTTTTATTGATTTGCTATTCAGAGATTTATTCAGATGTATT